AGAGAGAGAGAGAGAGAGAGAGAGAGAGAGAGAGAGAGGGATACGTGAGATTCAGGGCCTCACTCCACAACTCTCCACATGCACAAAAGAAAAAAAAATTGACGGTGTATCTTTTCCATGTTCGAGCAGAAGCTTCATTCTCATTTTGCACGTTTGGAGAGTAGTGCAGCGACACCCTCATTCTCGTGTTGCACCCTCCACTACACGTGCTACCTTCTTCCCCCGAATACAACGTACGGTCATTCTAGCTGTATCTAGACTGAAAGATGCGTCAAATACAACTATAATGACCATACGTTGTACTCGGGGGAAGAAGGTAGGAAATCCAATGGACCGTTTCAAGTTTCAATGGATTTCTTGGCACACGTAGTGGAGGGAGCCCAGCTCACCAAATGTGCAAAATGAGAATGAATCTTCAGTTAGGACATGGGTAGATACACAGCCATATTTTTTGTCTTTGTGCATGTGGTGAGTAGTTGAGCGAGACCCTATAACGGGCATCGAGCATGGGCCTCGCCCGACTACGCACCACATACACAAAATACAAAAAATATGGCTGTGTATCTTCCCGTATTCATTCATTCTCATTTTGCACATTTGGTGAGTGGGGCTCTCTCCACTACGCGTGCCAGGAAATCCGACGAGCGGTTTCAAGTTTCAGCAGATTTCGTGGCATGTGTAGTGGAGACACCGGCTCACCAAAGGTTTCAAGCTTCTGTCACTTTCTGACAGATTCTGCTCGGGTATAAAAGGTAAGTTTCTGGTTCTTTTTTTTTTTTTCAAAAGCACCGAGTTCTTGTTGTTTTCGAAATATACACTGCCACGTTTTTCCTCCTCCCGCTGCTGCGAGCCTCGGCCCCTCGCTGCCTCAAAAAAAAAACTGCGGGGCCCTGCGCGGCCTCAAAAAAAAAAATTATTTTTTCGTAACCCGACGGCGCAAAGTGCCTGCCGGCCTTGCAACCCCCCCCCCACAACTTTCGTTTTTTTTTGGTGACCCCCCGATTTCACAATGCGCTGCATGCCATGCGCGCACGTCGTGCGCACTGCGCGGTGCGGCGCACGTGTGCATTGCAGCGCATGGCAATGCTCCGCATGTATGTTTTTTTTGCTTTGCTTTTCCAAACGGGTTTCATAAGACAAAAAAGTAAAAGTGACAAAGATGAAAGGAAAAAATCGTTGTTTAACTGCTGGTACACCACTTTTTTGTTCATTGACTAAGCTTAGAACGAATTCATAAATCATTTCAACAAAAGATTGCCAAGCATTGGGTACAGGAAATTACATGAGTACATTGCGCATTTCAACAGCACAAAATTATTACAAAGAAAGTTTCCAGAGCTTGTGACATAGTTTTACTTTATTTACACAACCCTTAGCTTCCTCGCATTTGCTGCACTGATAATGGATGTCAAATTGTCCATGCTTCTGGCTCTTGAATTTTCTGCCTCAAAAACATACGAGTTTCATAACCAATTGAACCATTCTCTAGGCACATGAATGACAGCCTCAAAATCATTTTAAGTGCTCAAAGAATTCAAAATGAAGCCCACTTGCAATCGACACATACTCACAACACATTCAGGAGCAAATATCAGCGCCGCATCATTACTGCACACTGCCAAGCACACAATCAGCGGCTACAATTGCCACTCAACCCTTCAGCCATGGCCCGCTCAGACGTGTACAAGGAAAGAACTTACATGCCCATGGATTTCCGATGCATGTATTCCGCTTTGCTCAAAATCTCGCAGTGACCTGAAACCGACTCCACTTGTTGGTGATCCACATACTGCGTATCTGTTGCTGCAGGTCAAGGTATTTGTGTTATACCCATCTCTCTCTCTCTCTCTCTCTCTCTCTCTCTCTCTCTCTCTCTCTCTCTCTCTCTCTCTCTCACACACACACACACACACACACACACA